GCGCATGCCTGTAATTCCAGCCACTTAGAAGGCTCAGGTGGAAGGATCGCCGGAGCCCAGCAGGTTGAGGCTGCGGTGGCCGCTCCCTCCAGTCTGGGCGACAGAGTGAGACTCCGACTCAAAAAAAAAAAAGACAAAGTCTTTTTGAGGGGGGAGAGGTAAGGAAATGATCTGCTTAGTTTGAGACATAAAGATTTTGATTGGTCAGGGGAAGCACAGAAGGATATCCCCATCTAGAAATTGCCATTAGGCAGGTTGAGAATTTTAACTGAGAGACAATGTTAGGGAGTCATCTATGTAGCAGAGAGTATGAATCCTCAAGAAGGTATCAGTTAAACCTACAGTGGTGCTATATTCAGCATGTACTGTAGGCACAAGGAGGCAGGGAACTGAGCTCTTCAAGGGCCCACAAAAACTCCACCTTCTTTTCTTTTCTTTTCTTTTGAGTTGGAGTCTCTGTCGCCCAGACTGGAGTGCAGTGACCACTCCTGGCCACCGCAACCTCAACCTGCCAGGCTCTGGCGATCCTTCCGCCTCAGCCTTCCAAGCAACTGGAACTACAGGCGTGTGCTACCATGCCCGGCTGATTTTTGATTTATTGTAGAGATGAGGTCTCGCCGAGTTGCCCAGACGGGTCTTGAACCCACAGGCTCAGGCAATCCACTCACCTCAGCCTCCCAAAGTGCTGGGATTACAGGCTGAGCCACCAAGCCCGGCTAACTCCACCTTCTAAAATATGAATAGGTAAAGTCTAAAATCTTAATAAATATGTAATGAATTGTAGCAAAGCCAGATTTGCACCCAAGCCACTTATACCAGAATCCATACTTCACTATTACATTAAATGGAGCCACATTTAATTATCTTGTTTTTTAGTTTTGTGCCTTTTCGTGTATATTTAAGAAAGTTTTCCCCTGTTTTTCAGTGCTGCCTTTGAAAGGTTTTTAAATTTTTCCTTGTCTGTCTGGAGTGAATTAGGAATCTAATTTTATGTTGTTATATATGGATAGCCTAATATGCCAGGAAAGGCTATTGAAAAGGGGACCCATTTTTCAGTTGATACCTTCCTAGCTCACAGCTGAGTACTAAGTATTCATGCCTAGAGCATGGACTTTCCCTTTAAGAACCTTGTTCATAACTCAGAAAATATAATTAATGTCATTTCCTCCTCTCATTCTATAGTTCAATGTATCTTTCTCTTTCTTTCCTCCTCTCCTCTCCCTTTCTCCTACCCCACTCTCCTTCACCCTCTCTTCTTCCCATCTCCTCCTTTCTTCTGTCCCTTTCTTTCCACAGTTCTCCTATCTTTCCCTCCCCTCCCGATCTCTCATTTCTCAATATCTCCCTCCTTTTTAAAAATAGTGTCTGCCAAAACTGGAAGAAGTTAGAGTAATCTAGTAATTCATGGTTTCAAGTGTTAAATATACTACCTTCTGGCCGAAGCTGTGTGGATTAGTTTCCTTTGGAGGCTGAAGACCTAAGGTCTGTCCACTGTACTTTTGCAGGCATATTGATGATTCTCAGTAGGAGCTGTGCATACTGGAGGGCATGCTGTACCTCCAAACAGCCCAGGTAGGATAGAAGTCAGATTAAAGACTACCTAGTTTATTTCTTGAATTACTATGTAGGAAATAAAATCACATCTAAATTGTAATCATTTGTAAATAATTATAGTCATACATTGCTTAATACCAGGGATACATTTTGAGAAATGTGATTAGGTGATGTTGTCATTGTATGAATACCTTAGTGTGGTCACACAAACCTAGATGGCATAGTCTACTACACACCTAGGCTATGTGGTATAGCCTATTGCTCCTAGGCTGCAAACCTGTACTGCAGATTACTGAATACTATAGGTACAATGGTAGAAATTTGTGCAGCTAAACATAGAAGGGGAATAGTAAAAATATGGTATTATAATCTTTTGGGACCACTGTTGTATAAGCAGTTTGTCACTGGCTGAAATGTCATTATACAATGCATCACTATATATTGAAAGTTTAGTGTGGATTATTTATTTATTTATTTTTTGAGTTGGAGTCTCACTCTGTCACCCAGACTGGAGTGCAGTG